GGAATTGCCTCAAAAATCTGAAAAAGGAACTGCCTTTTGACCCGGCAATTCCCCTGCTGGGATTATACCCTATGAATCCTGAAACACAATTCAAAAGAACCTATCCACCCCGATGTACACAGCAGCACAATTTACCATAGCCAAGAGCTGGAAACAGCCTAAGTGCCCATCAGTAAATGAGTGGATCACAAAACTGTGGTACATTTACACACTGGAATACTATGCCACAGAAAGAAGGAAGGAAATGCTATGCTTCACAAGAGCAGGGATGGGACTGGAGAGCATTAAGCTAAGTGAAAAAGCCAGGTGGTAGACAAATACCACATGATCTCACCTGTAAGTGGAACCTCATCAAAACAACAATCAACCAAGCAAAATACAGCCAGAGACATGGAAATAAAGAAGAAACTAAAGTGACCACGGAGGAGCGGAGGGACGAGTAACAGGGAAAAGAAAGGGAGCGGTCAAGTCAAAGAACATGTGTACAGCGTCCACGGACAAAGACAACGGGGCGGGGGGCGGGTGTATGAACGCGGAAGGTGGGCGGTGGGGAGTGCAGGGGAGAGTGGTCGGGGGAAATGGGGACAACTGCGACTGAACAACAATGAACATTTTTAAAGTAGAAGTAAAATAGGAAGCTTGTCGATTTAAAGGAGACATACAGAAATTATGGGTTGCAACAGTTTCCTTTTCCTGAATAAATCTGCTTTGGTGACGAAACACCCAGTCAGCACTAGTTTTCAGACAACAATATGTGCTTCAACATTGGAGAAGGGCTGGTCTCGGCTAGGTTATATTACCTTCTAACTTTGAGATAATTATTGATGTTGGCTGTTGTAGGTACTTAGCAGCCTCCTTTCAGAGACATTGCCCCAGAGCTGGAGGGGAAATCCACCCCTGGCTGGGAAGCACCGCAGTGCGTGAGAACTGGAAGCAGCCGGACCTTCCTATCAACCCCGATTCCTTACTCTGATAATAACTTTGTTCAGATCACTGACCTCCTTCCAGCCCTATTTCTGCAATGGGGGATGGAATTGAAGTTCTTTCACCTCACAGAAGAAGCTTTTATAGAAATTAAATTAAACAATTCTAACAATAGCTGCTAAGTGTAAGTTCAGATTATATACCATAAAATTATATAAAGATGTGTCAATGTTAACAAAGGTTTTCTAATGATGGACTAAATGGCAACCCTTCTGATCTAAGTATGATATTTCTCATTGATTTGTCAAATGAAGCCAGGGAGTATATAGTGCCCAAAGCTTTACATCGAAGTTACACAGTCAACTCCCTTGTTGAAGAGAGAAATAGCAATTTCCTGGAGGTATCACGGGCTCTTCCCCACCACAAGTCAGGGCATTGAAGATCCAAGGGTCCTAGTCAAGGCAGTGTCCTAGGACTTAGACTCTGAGAACCTTTAACTCAGTTTTGGTTAAGTTGGTGAGAGGAGACAGGGTTCCCTTGACTTCACCTGGTCCCTTAGAAACAGAGGATCAGCAGGAAAATTTTCCATTCGGTCCACACAAGTGTCCCAAAGGGAAATGGGGTGCCCAGAGGAGGGAGTAAGGGCGAAAACAGGGGAAACAGTATCTAATGAGCAGGTGAAGGGAGAAGAAAATATCTCCTTGCAGCAGACTCTCAGCGTGGGCACCTTAGACCAGGCAGAATATATTTATTTGTTTCTTTGGGAGACCTAAACCTGGTCAGAGACTAATGGTTGACTCCTTCCTGCTCGTTTGTCTAAGGACAGAGCTTCAGTCTCCAACAGTCACCATCCAGGAGGGATTCGGAATCCTGCAAGGAGCCCTTCCTGTCACAGACCCGTCCATGTGAGGGAGAGTGCACAGCGGATGCTGCGGGAAAGATCCAGAGAGAAGGGATCCCAGAATTTCTACCTGCGGTAACCTGACAGACTAACCAGGCAACCTCAGACCGGAGAGACTGCCACAGCTGTTTGCCAGGTAGACTAATTAATATACAATTAGTTTCATGTATTAAATTAGAGTCTTTTTTCCTAAAAACATGGCAACTTGGCATAGAGTTCCTTTATATGTGTATAGATGATTTAGGGGAATGTATGAAACTTTATTAATTTAGTGTGGACATTCTATCATATGTCCCTCCCGTTACTTTTTAAAGTAAAAAGTTCTCCATCTTCTGGACCTTGGCAAAGAACTTCTTTTCCATTCAATTAATAATCAGTTCAAGTGATTAAATCATGGTATTTTATAGGTTTGTCTTTTGGAATTAGTTTTACAATTTTTTCCATTTTATTAATCCCATGATTAGAATCCTGCCTTTTTATATTATGAATATTCCATACTTTAACATTTTTCTATATAAAAGCATATATTCATAAAGCCACTGATTGAACAAAATCCATAAACTCCTTCCTCATTTGATCTCACATTATACAAAGAAAGCCGCATATCATTAAGAATAAGTGTGCCATGACTTCATATCCTTAGTGGGTAATATGTGAAGAAAAGGAATCAATATTTGTGATAATAAGAAGGATGTTATAAAACTTGTTCAGGGAAGGGTTTCTGCGTTAATAAGGTATGGGACCAGGACAGCTTGTACCTATCACATGCGTCACACAAGAGATCAAAGCTCAAAGCCAAGAACAGCAGAGGAAAGACGCCACGAGGATAGTGAGCGAGGGGCCAGCCTCGTCCACTGCTGGGCCAATGAACACAAGGGGGATGTAATAACCACGGAAGAGGTGCAGGGGGTCCCTTGAGTCCGCGGGGACCTCAGCATCCACGTGGGCTGCCTCTCCCTCTGCACCTGGCTCTCTGCCAGGCTCTTCGCTCCTTTTGCTTTTCTTCATAAACAGGAACTGGCCTTTTTAACTGTCCTGGCATTTATTGCATTGAAATGCAGAGTCCTTGCACTTGTCCAGAGTAAGAAATGCCTTTTAAACTGTGATCCAGCATTTTTGCACACAGGCCCAGAAACACTCACACACACACACACACACACACACACACACACAGTCTCACACGCGCACGATGGACAAAGGGAACCAGGAAACCTTTATCTATGTGCCCTCACTATGTATGACACACTCTAATATTTCCTTTGGTGACCTCTTAACTCTATTCTATTTCATTCTCACAAACCATAGTCTGACACCCTAGTGTGGGTTGATCTCAGGATATGGAGAAATATTCCTGCAGCACGTCCTCCACACCTAGGTTCGCAGACAGCACGTTCTCCCTTTGTCATGGAATTCGCGTTTACTCAGCTACACTCCACTAAGCAGCGTGAGGGAGGAGGTATTCGTGTAACATGCTCCATGCCGAAGGCGCTCACTCTCTAGCAAGGAACAAAGGCACAGAATTAAATAAAAATCCACGTTGGGTGCCCTAACACCTAAATCAGGGGCGTGAGAAGGGTCCTTTCCCTGTGCTAGTGTTAGGTAGAAGGGAAGGCTCATGAAGGGGAGAGTCCAGTCTCTCTGAAAGGGGAGATGGAGTTTGGAGGATGGAGAGGGGGGAACAGTCCCTAAGAGACCAGCGGGGAGGCTCCGAGCAGAGCAGAGCGAGTGCGCCAAGGCCCTGAGCCCGAGGCTGTGATGTCAGGTGCAGCGGGGAGTCAGGTCCACTGATTAGGAGATCAGAGTGGGTGAGGGCGGGGCCCCCTGAGGGCACAACTGGCGGAAAGGTCACAGACACGACGCCTCATGTTTGCAGCTATGAGATTTCATAAATTGCTTTTTGCTGTTTTTATCAGTTATTCTGGGCATCAGAGGGTAGAACTGGGGTTGGGAGCTGCCAGAACCGGGAGCTCTGCCCCATCTCTGTCACCCAGTGACCACCTGAACGATTAAATCTTTCCCCCTTTCTGTGCACATTTTCCTCTCTGCTTTTTAACCAATTTTTTACATTTCCTTAAATAACTTCAGTCCTTTAAGGGACGCAAATTGGCCATATGCAATGGAGTCCCATGTTTACAAGTCCATGGGAGGCTTAACCAATGGGATTTGGAGGTGATTTCTACATTCCTCAGTGTAAAGAGGGTCTGGAGTTGACATCACACCTTGTGCCCTTCCTTTTCCAATTACTGTGACAGGGTGAGGGGAGCTGGGTGATAACAAGGCCCAGGGACTCAGGGCGTGTGTGTGTGTGTGTGTGTGTGTGTGTGTGTGTGTGTGTGTGTTGTCCAGTAGTTTGACCTGAGCCCATGTACTCCAAAAGATGTCCCTTCAAATACAGATGCCAGAGCCAACCCATGAAAACAAAAGGGGAATCTGTTACTGTGTACAAGATCATTTTGGAAACAAAGCTAATAATGTGCAGAAACAGCATAGGAACAAGGGATTCTTCGTGTCTCCAGTTTCAGCAGCAGCAGGCAGGCCACCTCGTCCCCTCATTCTCTGTCACCATCTCTCATTGCTCCTCTCTGGCTCCTTCCCCTCCCCGTGCCGCATCCTTTCTGCGTCGTGAATGTCTGAAGCAAGTGTCATCCCGGGGCCTCTGCACTGACCCTTTCCCCACTCACCCCCGGATCTCCTCACGTTCCCACGCTGTCTTCCTGGACGTCTCTGTTCAAGTGTTGCCTTGTTTGCAGGGCTTCCTGGAAGCCCAGTTTAAAAAAATATTAAATACCCCATCCTCTCACCTGTATACCTTCTTTCTTTTTCTTCACCTGATACCATCTAATATGGTATACTATTTATATAGTATATATTCCTTTACAGTGTATGTACTAAGGATTTTTGTCTATCAGCATCCTACCCTCAAGTGGATGAAAGCAATTCTCATTAATACTGTGTAATCCTTGACCACGTTGAGCAAAAGGACAGAGGAAGACAGAAGTTCCTAATCAGATATGTCTTGAAATATGAATACTTTAAAGGGTGTGATACTTAAAAATTTAACATAGATTTTTTTACTGCAAAATATGTTTGTAGCACTTAAACTCTGCTAGTAAAATTGCCTTTTGTATGAAACTAATCATGACATTTTTCCTTTTCCACTAGTCTCCTCTGCCACATGGGACCAGTCAATGATACCCCAATTTCAGAGTTTCTTCTCCTGGGACTATCAGAGGCACCGGAACTGCAGCCCCTCCTGTTTGGGCTGTTCCTCTCCATGTACCTGGTCACTGTGCTGGGAAACCTGCTCATCATCCTGGCCGTCAGCTCAGACTCCCGCCTCCACACGCCCATGTACTTCTTCCTCTGCAACCTGTCCTTGGCTGACATCTGCTTCACCTCCACCACCGTCCCGAAGATGCTGGTGAACATCCAGACGCAGAACAAAGCCATCGCCTACGCAGGCTGCATCACCCAGATGTATTTTTTCGTGCTCTTTGCAGGATTGGACAACTTCTTTCTGACCGTAATGGCCTATGACCGGTTTGTGGCCATCTGTCACCCCCTGCACTACACGGTCATCATGAATCTCCGGCTCTGTGGCCTGTTGGCACTGGTGTCCTGGATCATGAGTGTCCTGGATTCCTTGCTGCAATGCTTGATGGCGTTGCGACTGTCCTTCTGCTCAGACTGGGAAATCCCCCACTTTTTCTGTGAGCTCAATCAGATGACCCAACTTGCCTGTTCTGACACACATCCTAATAACATTGTGTTATATTTTGTAACTGTGCTACTCGGTAGTGGTCCCCTGGCTGGGATCTTTTACTCTTACTCTAAGATAGTGTCCTCCATACGTGCAATCCCATCAGCTCAGGGGAAGATTAAAGCCTTTTCCACCTGCGCGTCACACCTCTCCGTTGTCTCCTTATTTTATGGTACAGGCCTAGGCGTGTACCTCAGCTCCGCTGTTACTCACGGCTCCCAGTCAAGTGCAGTGGCCTCCGTGATGTACACCGTGGTCACACCCATGCTGAACCCCTTCATCTACAGCCTCAGGAACAGAGACATAAAAGGGGCTCTCAAAAGATTGGCTGTGGTGGCAGGTAAACAAGGGACGATCATCCTGAGGCCAAAAAAGCATCCTTGCTTTCTTGGCCCCAAGAATCAAAACTAGAATTGGGATTCTTTAATTAGTTTTTGGGTTTTTGAACTTGTTCCTCTTATATCTGTCCTGGAATTTACTTTGTTTGTTTCAACTTCTCTATGCAATTTAAGTTACCATTTTATTAAGCTTTCTACTTTGCCTACTAAATAGTTTTTCTTTTTTCCCTTTTTCCTAAAATCAAAAAAAGTTCTCCAACCTTGATCAGATATATTTGGACGTTTTTATGTATTTCTGTGGCAACATTGATATCTTTAGAATAATTTTATCTTATGCAGTACACTGGGTGTGGCAGAAGTGAGGCCTGTTTGAGAGTGGCTGATAGGGCATGTGAATGTCTCACACGAGACAGACAGCACTGTCAACATTTCCCCTAAAATGTCATATAGTGTGTTTGAGTGTGATATTGTTTTCTTACAGGATTACATGCTTATGATTTTCTAATAAAAGATATTGTAAAAAAAAAAGGACATTATTTGTGTGGGACCCTCTATATAATTTTAAGTAATTTGTTCTTCTTTTGTACATAGAACAGTAATAAGTAGTATGACTATTGTTGAAACATTTCACTTGGCAACTAAGTCCTTTAGATAATTTCATTCCATAACAATCCAACCTCGCTTTTTCCTATGTGTCCTCATCCTTTGCACATCAGTACCTCGGGGGCTGTTCCTCACGACGCAAATTGATCGCTGTGCCCTGTGAGTCTCCACCTGTTGACAGGTGACACTACAGGATAGGAAGGCCTGGGCACCGGCCCTGGGTCCTGCTACTCTTCTTCAGACCGGTCAATGTTATGGCGGGATGGCTTCCTGTGGTCCTTGTTATACTTGTAACAACTTTCACGCAAACTATGAAAACGTAAGGCTTATTACGCTCAGGACCAGCAACACGAAAGCCACAAGGAGGTGTGTGTGTGTGTGTGTGTCTGTGAGTGTGTCCCTCTGTGTGTGAAGACAGAGAGAGAGAGAGAATGGACTTGGCCTGAAGGGCCCCACCTGTACTGGGTTCCAAGAGCAGGATGGTAGGTTCTCCTTTCACTGGCCATTTCAAAACATAAGAGTGGGACTTAGGGCAGGAAAATGAAGGGCAGGGTCACCCATGTGGTCAGTTGGAAGTTACTCAGGGCTCTCTAAGAGGGGAAGGTTAGTACACGTTAATTCTTGTATAAAAAGTGGGAAAATCATGTGTGTTCCTGTGTGTAATTCCACAGGAACTTTGTTCCCAGATCGATCCCTTTGATCTTACCCACATGGCTTCTAATTAAAAATACAAGTGCTTATCTTTCAAGGTCCAAAACAGAGCTAATAGCTTTATTTAAAAACAGAAAGCCCACGCCATGGTCGGGGGCAACACTGGCGCTTACGCCGCAGCCGGGTCCCGCGTCTGGCACCCTGATGACCTGAGGTGGGCAGCTTTGAAAACAAGGCTCAGTCAGGTACTTAGGCTACACACATGCTACTGCGCTTTACACCTAATTGCCAGGTTTTCTTGTCCTCTTCAGCTGCGGGGGCCAGAATACCTACCATCGTCACTGGCAAAAGTTAATTATCAAATATACGTCTCCTAGTAGAGTTTATTTGAAACTTATGTGACAGGTTTCCAAGACAGAAAGAGAAAATGAAATGTACGTGACATTCTGGCCTAAGGATGAGGGAAGGCACCTGGGGCTTCAGGAGGGAGGAAGGACATTGCAGGACAATGAGAAGAGCAGATGTTCAGCAATGAGAAATTGGGCCTGCCCTTTGCAAAAGTCATAAGAAGTTATCTCTGATAGTAACTGATTCTGGGCAAGACCCCCAATTTAAATTCTTTACAAGAGAGCTGTAAGTCCCTCTTGATTCTCAGCGTCTCGATGGCATTCAAGTACAAAATAATCCACATACATCTTTTGGGGTGACTCATTCTAGACCCTTACAATAGTGACCCAGTGTCACTCTTTTCCATGTGGCTGTCCAGTCTTCTCAGCACCATTTATTGAAGAGACTGTCCTTTCCCCCATTGTACACTCATGCCTCCTTTCCCTGGATTAATGACCTGATCGGCGTGGGTTTGCTTATGGGCTCTCTATTCCCTTCCATTGTTGTGTATCTGTTTCTACGCCTGTACCATACGGCTTTAATTACTATAGCTTTGTAATATACTTTGAAATCAGGGGATGTGTTACCCTCAGCTCTGGTTCACCTTCCAAGATATTTTGGCCACTCAGGATGTTCTGTGGCTTCATGCAAATTTTAGGATTGCTTATTCTATTTCTGTGAAAAAATGACATTGGAATTTGATAGAGATTGAATTAGATCTGTTGATCACTTTGGGTATGTTTACAAAAAATTCAACCTAGTAATTCTGAAGATCGAATTGGCATTATTAAGTGGGTCAGGTAGCAACCTATCTAATGACACAGAGAAAGGTCAGAGGGCATGTACAGAGCTGAGAGTTTTTGTACGCAAATGGGTGGGGCAAGAAAGCTACTAACAACAAAAAGTAAAGAATTATTTTGGGACCATGACATCTCTCCTTTGGAGAAGAGAAGGAGAAGGATTACTATCTTACAAATTCCCTCTTCCTTCTTTGAGCAAGTGTGAAGGGCCCACGTGACAGTAGATTTCACTACTTGTCTGAATCATTAAATCCAGAGTAGTTGATTAACAAAAAGTCTCTGGGAAATGCTGACACTTCCATTAGATCCAGTATCAAATCGAGATTGGTCATCATGGCTTTTACTGGAATGATGTCATTTAAGGCCTATGGTTTTCCCTTTAACAGTAATATGGACATTTAACAAAATTAATTTTTCCAAGCCATAAACAAAGAATATATTTCTTTCTACCTGTGCCTGTATTAATATCTTCCAGCAATGTTTTATAGTTTATTCCCAGATATTTTAATCTTTTTGATAAAACTGGAAATGAAACTCTTTTCTTAATTTCTGACTGTCCTTTATTTCAATTATTGACATAATAGGATTTTTGTATATTGATTTTGTATGCTACATCTTTACTAAACTTGTTTATTAATTCGAACAGATTTTAAAAAATAGTTTGTTGCAGGATAACAAAATAAACTGGGCATATTAAAAATGCAACATTTCCTGACTTAAAGGAGTCATACAAAAGTTAAGAGTACGCACTGCACAGGTTCATTTAGATAGAATTCAAGAAGAGGCAGAAACACTTTAATTGCTCTGTTATATAATTAAAAAAATGTAAACACCTCAATCTTCTTTTCCTATCATTGATGGTGTTATGTAATAATAAACCTAATACCAGTGGACATTGGCACATATGAATATGACGTTTTGAATGGAAGTCCCACGACTGCAGAACTAAAGAAGAAACAACAGCGAGACTGTAGGGAGGGGCAGAGACACGGAACAGGCTGGTCCCACACCCACACGGAGCCGATGTAAATCACGAGGGTAGTGGCTGAGGAGTGAGGGTGTCCAGCCCCACACCATGCCCCCAGCCCAGCGGACCAGTGTTGGGGGGAAGTCCCCGTAATGTCTGTCAATAACAAACGGCAGGGATCGAGGCTGAGGAAGATGAAAACACCTGGAGCGCCAGGCTGCTCCTCTTGAAGCACCCGAGCGGGGACTTACTCAGACTCACTCTCCCTGAGCTCCAGCGCAAGCTCAGCAGCTTGAAGGCATCAGAGAGAGACACAGGGAGGAGCTGGATTGTTTGGCCTCCGGGTGAGAGCTGCAGGGGCAGCTTTCTCCCAGACAGAAGCGCGCGCAGAGGCCTCTGCGCTGCTGAAGGGCCCTCGCCCCGCAGAGCCAGGAAGTTGGTGACGTACCTGAGACTCCTTCCACCCGACTCGCACTCTGGTCCGACCCTAGGGATTCCCTCAAACGCTACCCCACTGAACGCTCGGGCCCTCCCAAGCCGTTTCCAGGGGGCTTCCATACAAAAGGCTTGTCCTGTCTCATGCTTCAGATTTCCCTAAATTCTCTCAAAGAAGCTGTATCTGATCTAAGCGAGCCCAGTACCACTGGCTAAGGGGCTCCAGGCCCAGCACTGCAAGAGCCGGCCTCGGTTCACACTTGGCCTCACCTAAGCACCGGTCAGCCCAGCACAGGTAGACGCAACTGCAGGGAGCTTTTGTCAGATGACCCTGGGCAGCACACAGAGGGTGGCTGGCCTTGGCCCGCACCTCATGGGAGGCCCCCGAGCCAGCACACCCAGTGGACAGCTTCAGACCACAGCAGAGCACCACCACCCAACCACCCCCACAAGGGACACACTCAAGGGGAAAACGCAGCAGGCACCCGAGCCCTGCTGAAGCAAGGCCTGCTCTGTGCAGCGAGCTCCTGCACAGCTGATCCTCCACGCTGGCTGCAGGTAGGTAGTCAGCGGGCACAGCCAGCCCCTGCTACTCATCGGCCTTGTTGAATCCCTCCCATAGACGAGCTAACAGCAACTGAGGCTCAACTCCAAGTGTAGTGTGTACACAGCCCGTGTCGTACGCACACATTAAGTACCCGTATTGGGTGAGAGGGGAGGTTGTGCCAATGGACCCCTTCAGTCGCCTGCTACATGAGGCCACTCTACTGAGCCTGAGAGACAGAGCAGCTCAGTCTCATACATAGTAACAAACACACGGAGGCTGCCAATTGGAGGAGACCAAGGAAACCGCCCAGAAGAGAAACAGAAAAAAATCTCTATAAAAACAACCAAATGGAGACAAGCAATCTATTAGATGCACAGTTCAAAACAGTGGTTATATGGATGCTCAGTAAACTTAGTGAGGGCCTCAACAGCATCAAAAAACATCCAGTCAGAAATAAAGGATACAATAATTGAAATAAAGAGTGATTTACAGGATATAAACAGTAGAGTAGCTGAAACTGAGAATAAAAACGATGATGTGAAATACAACAAAAAATATGTACCCAAACAAAACAGCAACAAAAAAGGAATCTAAGAAATGAGAATAGAATAAGGAACCGCAAGGGCAACAGGCAGACCATCATTCACATCATGGGGGTGCCATAAGGAGAAGAGAGGGAGCAAGAAATTGAAAATTGATTTGAAAAACTCATGATGAAAATTTCCCTACATTGGTGTAGGAAACAGATCTAGAACTCCACGACATGTTTCCAGGGATTTGACACAGGAGGGGCGGGGACAGAGAGAGAGAGGAGAGAAAAAAGAGAGAAACATTTGTGAAGGAGAGAAAGGTCGACCTGTCTCCACGCGCATGACCGCAACCGAGAATCAAACTCTAGTCTGACCGTCACACGGCCACCGCCTTCCTCCTCAGAGTGTGGGGCACAGAGCAGCACCTGCAGCATCAGCACCGCCTGGGAACGGGTTTGATTCACAGAAACTGCGTCCACCAGGACCTGCAGCTGCACTGTACTCTTGGGTGACTTAATGGGCATTGATGTTGGAGAAGTGCCGATCCAGGCAAAGCTTTCCCACATTCTCGTGTCGACATATGGGTGCAATAATTCTTTGTCTCATAGTGTAGGTGCTTAGCCGCCTCCCTCCACATGTTGCCAAATATCTCCAGGGACACGAGCATCTCAGGTAGAGAACCACTGGCCCACAGTTTGAAAACTGAAAGCACCGGACAGATTCCAACCAAGGTCCACCCCTCTCTAGGTTCCTAACTCTGAGCCAATTTCTAAGCCCTTCAAGCCCAAATTCTGCAAAGGGGAGTGGAGTCCATAACAGTAACACTCATAGAATGGACTTTTCAAAAAATTAAACCAGACAAAATCTATAAGGTACTAAGTTCAGTTAATATGGCATAAAAGTATCAAAACATATCTCTCGTGATTAACAGATGTTTTATAATGGTGCACTAAATGACAGCTCTTCATTTGTTAGCCATGTGCAAAATCTCTAACTAGTTTGACAAATGCGTTAGGAAGCCAAAGAGTGCTCTGCCCAGGATGCCATACCAAAGGAACAAGGCCCTCCCCTCACGGAAGAGGGGACAGCAATGCCCTGGAGGCATCAGGGCTGGGTCCGCACCGCACATCCGTGCTTTAAGGACTGAAGGGACCTGGTCCTGGGAGGTTCCGTGGTCTCCGTCTGTGGGAAAATGTTAACTCAGTGTTGGAATAAGGAAGTAGGTGGTGAGACCTCTGGGAAGCAGGTGAGAGCCAAGACCAGGAGTCATAAGACCTAAATCCACCTGGCTTCTAACAATGCCTTTTGGGATCAGAAAATCATTAGGAAAAATGTCCTTTCTGTTCATTCCAGAGGCCCAAGGGGAAGCATGTCCTTAGATGCCGGAAGGACACAAGGGAAATGTGCCTGCGGAGCAGATAGAGAGAGAGCCGTACATATCTCCTGGTGCAGCCCCTCCGCTTGTGCAGTGTTGCTGGACAGGACGTGCTTGCTGTGATTCCCCAGCCTGGCTCAGGAACTGAGTCTTCACTCCTTCCTGCTGTGTGTGTGGGACAGAGCTTCCGTCTCCACCATCAGCCATCCTGGGACCAACTCTGACTTGCACACAGAGAACAGAAAGCCCACCCAGGGGAGCAGGAGAGCCTGGTAGGTGCACCAGGAAAGGGTCAGAGAGGCTGGAACCTGAGAACTTTCACTGAGTCAGGCCACCCCAGTCAGCCTAGCCTGGGACCAGATACCCCTGTTTCTATTCTCGGTTACGGGAATAATGTATACTTAATTTACAAGGTATGTTAACGAGAATGCGGTTCCTGAAATCTGCCCTCCAGGCCCACAGCTGACAAGGAAGAGATGGGGCAGGGAGTCCGGTGGGGTGACGCTGGACAATGAGTGAGATGCGTGAAATGGTTGCAGGAAAATGAAAACACGTCTGGCAGTTTTGCTCTTTGGGGAGAAGCAAACAGACATTAGGTGCGGAGAGCAGTGCAGTGAGTGAGGGCGTTTGCACTGAATTTCTAAGCCGGGGTGTGTTTGAGCGTGGGTTGCATTCGCTGAAAGATCCAGCCCAGTGAGCCAGACGGCACCTCGCAGCGGCAGATAGTGAGTCAGACATTGCCGTGTCTTCTCGCAGGCTGACTAGTCACATGACAAAATTATTCGCTGAGTCCAAAAAGGCATACTAAAGAGTTTTACTTCATTACTGAGGAGGCGGCACCTTCTTGGGGTGTTGTGCCCTCTTACCTTATATATTCAAACAGTTAGTAGGTATTCAGGCCCACACTCGGCCTTCTCCCGTGGCGGTGCTATTTCCATGCTTTGCATGGGAGATTCTGTCATGCTTGTGGGGGACATAAATTGAGGACTGACCACCATGTAGCCCACAAGTGTAGTGTGCTGAGAAACAAGTTTGGACAATTCACGGCAGAAAAATTAAGGTCGCACATGGTACCTTACAAGTTAATGACACCGAGACATCCTGGGTCACAACGTTTACATTAATGCTGTGAAGACTTCAGTGTCCCAGATAACAGGGCAGAATATCTCCAAATCAGTTAAGAATGTCTGTTCTACTCCCTGTAGATTTTCAAAGTAAAAGGCCTACCCAAGAAAACTAACGAAGGCGGAGACTTGAACTCAGCCCCCGCAGCAGGCGTCCCTGAGTGACGGACCCTCTTAGACCGCCGGGGCTGCGGGGAGGCGCTCCCACGCTGGCTGCTCCCCGTGAGCACAGGGGTGCGCGTGCAGTTCTAGGCGTCAGAGCCTGGCTTGGGTCTCACTGGCTGATCTCAAGCTGCAGGGCTGGGTTCCTCCGAGAGGCTCAGGGGAGAAACTGTGTTCTCCCACCTCCAGGTTGTGTCCTGAAGACCTGCATCCCTGCCTCAGGGCCCTTCCTCCTTCATCAGAGCCAGCAAGGCCGCGTTTTCTCCTGGGCTCCCTCTCTGCATCTAGGGGCGCACCGTGCTGACCTTGGTTCCCTTGCAGATGATCCTGCTCATCTTCTATCTGGAATCCGCTGATTAGCAGCCTTGCTCCATCTGCTATCCTACCCTCCTCTTGATATAAAAAAAATGTTTTATTCCAACACACTGAGGACTTGGATGCGGATATGTTTTACAGGTCCCCTTCCACCTGCTAAAATTGGTTTTTCAGGTGGGTGTTATTTTCTATCACTCAAGGGCCCTTATATAAGGAAACGCAGACTCAATCATAGCCTCTGGGACCAGTGAGTACACTGTTCCTTCAAAACTACATGCGGAGACGATATATGGACCATAGTCACTAAAATGACCTGCAACTGAGTCCAACTCAGACCCACAGCCTTTCTTCTCTGGGCGCGGCCCACATACCAGGACCTGCAGCATCAGCACCACCTGGGCGCCTGTCGGACACGCAGCTTCTCTGAGCCTGAAGGACCTGCTGAATCCGATTCTAAACTTGAACTAGGATCCTGGGGACTTCACAGGCACATTGAAACTGGAGACGTGCTGGTCTGGTCTAAACTAGGTTCTGTCACCTTTCACCACTGACCTGTGGGGAGGGGTAATAATGGGGGGAATTTTTCTGTGTCTGCATGAATAGTAGGTGTTTAGTAGTATCTCTTCAGGCCTTACTAGGGGATAAATCATTTCTGGTCGAGAACCACCGCCTCCAAGCAACCTGAACAGATTATCATCAAGGCCCATCACATACTCTGGTATTAACTTTGAGCAAATCACTAACCCCCTTCAGCATCTCCCTAAGGCCTTGGCACTGGCCGTTCCCTCTGCCGGCCACACACTTGCCCATCTCACCTTCATCTCCCTCCCTTTCTTCCTGGTGTCCTGTGCTCAAATGTCACCTTGTTCGCAGATAGTGCCTAAAAACCCATGAAATATACAACAACCTAGTCACCTTCCCCTTTAGACCTGCTTTCATTTCTTTTCATAGGCTCTGTCTCCACCTGTAATGTCATTATCTGTATTCACTTCCATATTCTTCCCCCAATATTGACGTGTAGGGACTTGTGCTCTTCATCACCCTCCACTCACGGCCCAGGCAGCGCCAAAACCACGGGCAGCACTCAATTTGTATTCCTGAAATACATGAAATATTTCTAACTAAAACTGTAGTACATCGGACACCTTAGGAAAGATCAGATCAGAACAAAGCTTCTACTCTAGATGACACAGAACACGCCTAGAGGGCACAGGTCAGTCCTAAAGTACTGAAATTAATGTCTTGTTTACAAAATATTAACTGTCCCAATAGAGCTAATTAGTAATACCAGGTTATATGAAAATTACTCCTTTCTTTTTCTCCTTCTTGAAAGTCACCTCCACCTCATGGCAGCAGGGAACCTTACGAGAGTGTCAGAATTCCTTCTCCTGGGACTATCAGAGGCACCAGAACTGCAGCCCCTCCTGTTTGGGCTGTTCCTCTCCATGTACCTGGTCACTGTGCTGGGAAACCTGCTCATCATCCTGGCCGTCAGCTCAGACTCCCGCCTCCACACGCCCATGTACTTCTTCCTCTGCAACCTGTCCTTGGCTGACATCTGCTTCACCTCCACCACCGTCCCAAAGATGCTGGTGAACATCCAGACACAGAGCAAAGCCATCGCCTATGCAGGCTGCATCACCCAGATGTATTTTTTCATACTCTTTGCCATGTTGGACAACTTCCTCCTGACCGTGATGGCCTATGACCGGTTTGTGGCCATCTGTCACCCGCTGCACTACACGGTCATCATGAACCCCCGGCTCTGTGGGTTGCTGGTTCTGGTGTCCTGGATCATCAGTTCCCTGTATTCTCTGCTGCAATGTTTCACTACTGTGTTCTTCATGCTCCCTTGAGACGTGAGACTTTTTAATATACTTAACTGGAGTACAATGACATACAATAAAGTCCACAGATTTATATAAAGAATTTTCTGAACCAAATTAAAGGAGCCAAGCAAAAATTAAGAATATAAACAGCATGAATCCACACACATATAGTTTAAGAAGGTGCTCGAAACACTAATTCAAAAGACTAGATGCGCCCCTGTGCTCATTGCAGCGTTGTTTACCAAATCCAGATTTGGAAGCAGCCAAAGTCCCCTCAGCAGATGGGCAGATTAAAGAGCTAACGGTGTGGGGGCTGAATGTGGGCGTGGCGAGTCAGCTGGGTGGAGGAGGGCAAACGGGGAAATGGGGATAAGTAACAGAATAAACAATAATAAAAAATGCACTGTTAAAAAATTAAAAACAGAAAAAGATTTAAAACTATTGCACATTGACACAATGGAGTACTACTCAGCTATAAAAAGAAGAAAGTCTTACTTTCTGCAACAGCAGGAGGGACCTGTGGACATTTGGCTAAGTGAGAGAAGTCAGTCAGAGAGAGACAAGTACCATATTTTGTTCTCACAGTGGAATGTGATGAACAAAATAAGCTAACAAACAAAATAGAAACAGACCCATAGATACAAAGATCAGACTGACAGCCATGTACAGGGTAGGGGTTTTGGGGGCCTAGGTGAACACGGTAAAGTGTTTAAGCAAAAAAAAAGAAACACCTCCGAGGCACTGATAACGCTGTGGTGCTTAGCAGAGGGAAAGGCGGTGGGGGAGGGAGAAGAGGGTAAATGGGTGAGGGAAGGAGACTCGCCTGGGTGGTGAACACATAATACAGCCTACAGATCGCGTACTATAGAATCCCATACCTGATACCTGTATAATACTATTAACCAATGTTACCCCGATCAAGTCAATAAAAATTTAAAATGAATATAGCCTGTCTATACAATATATACAAAACAATGGACAGCAAGTTTTAACTGATTAACCGAATATGCTAAGAGCCTGACACTATACAAAAATAATACAATATTTATTTTTAAAAATATGTGTGTTTCACATAAATAAACAAAGTGCTCAGAAGCTGTGTTTGCTCTGTTATATAATTTTCTTAAATGTAGTCACCCTGAGCGTCCAGTTCCTTCCCTCTGACTGTGATGTGGGACAACGAACCCAGATCATGTGGATGTGGAAGAAATAATGAAATGCTTGGAAATACTTTGTTAAGTCCAAGAACTGCATTTACAGTTAAGGGGTGTATCTAGGTATCTGCATGGGTGCACTTGTGCATGACTTTCTTTCAACTATGCAGACTAACACGTGTACATGCGAACAGACTCATTATATACCCGTCTTTTATGTAGGGAGAAAATGTGTGACGAATTTTGACAGAATAGAAATTAAAAGACTGACTGCTTGAGTTAAAATGAAATTAAAGGAATTCTGACACAAAAACACCATAGGGAGTTCACTGTTCTGGCTAATGCCCCCGAATCTCCAAGGTGACCATTTCTTTGCATTTTTATTTTTATTTTTCATTTGCAGTTTCATTCTTCTTTTAAATTTTTTTATCGTCGTTCAGGTACAGTTGCCCCACCGTTTTCTCCCTTGCTCACCCAAACCCCGCCCCCACCCACTCGCACAGTCAGTCCCTGGGATGGCCGTGCCCAGGCGTCCTCGATCCGGGCTCCTTTGCTTGCCCCTCCACTTCCCTCCCCCATTATCTCCCTTCCCCTCCCCCTGGTCACTGTCAGTTTGTGCTTCGTTGCCAAGTCACTGGTTCTATTTTTCTCATTTGTTTGTTTCTTGATTAGGTTTCACTTTGAGGTGAGATCATATGGTATTTGTCTTTCACTGTCTGGCTTATATCACTTAGCATAATGCTCTCCAGTCCCATCCATGCTGTTGGGAAGAGAAGGAGCTCCTTCTTTCTTTCTGCTGCATAGTATCCCATTGAGTAAATGCACTACAGTTTTGTGATCCACTCATTTACTCATGGGCTCTTAGGCTGTTTCCAGCTCTTGGCTACTGTAAATTGTGCTGCTCTGAACATTCGGGTGCACAGGTTGTTTTGAATGGTGTTTCAGGACTCGTAGGGTATAATCCCAGCAGGGGAATTGCCAGGCCAAAAGGCAGTTCCATTTTTATTTTTTTGAGGAAACACCAACCTGTTTTCCAGAGTGGCTAAACCAGTTGGCATTCCCACCAACAGTGCACTAGGGTTCCCTTTTCTCCCCAACCTCGTCAGCATGGGTTGCCACTGGAATTTTGCTAGATGTTGCATTGAACCTGCAGATTGTTTTGAGTATGTAAAAAAAAAATTCAACGTAGTAACTTTGAAGACCTAACCAGCTTTATTAATTAAGTCATCACTCAGGCAGTAGTTCACCTAGCAACACAGAGGGAGCTCTGAGAGGCTGTAGAAAATGGAAGGTTTGTAAAGAGAAAAGGGTGGGGCAAGGGAGCTAATAACAACAGAAAGAAAGGATCCTCTGGGGGGTTGACATCTTTTCTGTGGGGGATGAGAACGAGAGGGGTTTTTTTCTTTTAATAGTGTTCTTTTGAGCATATAGCGCTAATTTTTTATGTATTTCTTTTATTTGAAGAGTTTTTATCATGCAGATTCCTTTTTCTTTCTACATCGATGGAGAGGGCTCGTGCGACAGATGACCTTACTGGTGCTTGACCAGAAGATTCCAACGTGTTTGATTAAAGTTACATTCCTGAAAGATGTTCGTACTACAGCATATCCGGTATTAAATCCTGGTATGGAATCATGGGCTTTTAGGAGGAGTGATGTCATTTTGAGCTGGGGTATGGACACTATTAATTTCAAAATACTAACAATATTAATTCTTTCAAAATTAATATTAACTATACTAATTCTTTCAAAAAATGAGCACAGTATATTGTTCCATTTATTTATGTCTTCTTTAGTAACATTCAGCAGTATCTTATAGTTTTCAATGCACAAGTTTTCCACTGTCTAGGTTATGTGTACTTCCAGTTTTAGTCTTTTTGATGCATTTGTAAATGGGATTTTTTCATAATTTCTATGTCTGCAAGTTACTAGACACCATAGAGTTCTGTAAATGGATTTTGTATCCCACAACGTCACTGAATTTATTGATTAGTTCTAGCAAATTTTCATATTTTCAATAATTTATTGAAGGAATTAAGGAAATAAATGGAACATATTTAAAATGCAAAGTTTGACTCTTGCTGGGAATGCAGACTGGTGCAGCCACTGTGGGAAAGAGTATGGAATTGCCTCAAAAATCTGAAAAAGGAACTGCCTTTTGACCCGGCAATTCCCCTGCTGGGATTATACCCTCCGAATCCTGAAACACAATTCAAAAGGACCTATCCACCCCGATGTACACAGCAGCACAATTTACCATAGCCAAGAGCTGGAAACACCCTAAGTGCCCATCAGTAAATGAGTGGATCACAAAACTGTGGTACATTTACACAATGGGATACTATGCCACAGAAAGAAGGAAGGAACTGCTATGCTTCACAAGAGCAGGGATGGGACTGGAGAGCATTAAGCTAAGTGAAAAAGCCAGGTGGTAGACAAATACCACATGATCTCACCTGTAAGTGGAACCTCATCAAAAAAACAATCAACCAAGCAAAATACAGCCAGAGACATGGAAATAAAGAGGAAACTAAAGTGACCACGGAGGAGTGGAGGGACGAGTAACAGGGAAAAGAAAGGGAGCGGTCAAGTCAAAGAACATGTGTACAGCGTCCACGGACAAAGACAACGGGGCGGGGGGCGGGTGTATGAACGCGGAAGGTGGGCGGTGGGGAGTGCAGGGGAGAGTGGTCGGGGGAAATGGGGACAACTGCGACTGAACAACAATGAACATTTTTTAAAGTAAAAGGAAAATAGGAAGCTTGTCGATTTAAAGGAGACCTACAGAAATTGTGGGTTGCAACAGTTTCCTTTTCCTGAATAAATCTGCTTTGGTGACGAAACACCCAGTCAGCACTAGTTTTCAGACAACAATATGTGCTTCAACATTGGAGAAGGGCTGGTCTCCGCTAGGTTATATTACCTTCTAACTTTGAGATAATTATTGATGTTGGCTGTTGTAGGTACTTAGCAGCCTCCTTTCAGAGACATTGCCCCAGAGCTGGAGGGGAAATCCACCCCTGGCTGGGAAGCACCGCAGTGCGTGAGAACTGGAAGCAGCCGGACCTTCCTATCAACCCCGATTCCTTACTCCGATAATAACTTTGTTCAGATCACTGACCACCTTCCAGCCCTATTTCTGCAACGGGGGATGGAATTGACAGTTCTTTCACCTCACAGAAGAAGCTTTTATAGAAATTAAATTAAACAATTCTAACAATAGCTGCTAAGTGTAAGTTCAGATTATATACCATAAAATTATATAAACATGTCTCAATATTAACAAAGGTTTTCTAATGATGGACTAAATGGCAACCCTTAGAGATCTAAGTATGATATTTCTCATTGATTTGTCAAATGAAGCCAAGGAGTGTATAGTGCCCAAAGCTTTACATCAAAGTTACACAGTCGTCTCCCTTGTTGAAGAGAGAAATAGCAATTTCCTGGAGGTATCACGGCCTCTTCCCCACCTCAATTCAAGGCATTGAAGACCCAAGGGTCCTAGTCAAGGCAGTGTCCTCAGACTTAGACGCTGAGAACCTTTAACTCAGTTTTGGTTAAGTTGGTGAGAGGAGACAGGGTTCCCTTGACTTCACCTGGTCCCTTAGAAACAGAGGATCAGCAGGAAAATTTTCCATTCGGTCCACACAAGTGTCCCAAAGGGAAATGGGGTGCCCAGAGGAGGGAGTAAGAGTGAAAACAGGGGAAACAGTATCTAATGAGCAGGTGAAGGGAGAAGAAAATATCTCCTTGCAGCAGACTCTCAGTGTGGGCCCCTTAGACCAGGCAGAATATATTTATTTGTTTCTTTGGGAGACCTAACTCTGGTCAGAGACTAATGGTTGACTCCTTCCTGCTCGTTTGTCTAAGGACA